TCTTCATCATAATATAATTTACTGAACTATTTTTTTCTGATATTCTTACGAATGTTATCAAAATTATCATCTGACCTGACGAAAGTTTTCATCAGTGAACTGAAACACGACGTAAGCAGAAAAATGAGAGTGATCAAATATACTTCTCATTGCTTATAACTATTGTCGAATTTTATTCATGTACTATGTAGTTTTATAAAGAAATAAATGAACATAAAGTCTAGTGAAACAAAATAGAAGCCTTGATGGTTCTCATAAATGCATCTGTCTAATAAAATCAAGCAACTGATTGTTCATTGGAAATGACGATAATGTTCTATCATTTGCCCGAATCTAAATAAGACAAATGATCTTCTATTACCGCGTTGTTTATATGTGACGAAAATAAAACTGTACAACTTTCAAGCTTAAACTCTACGCGACTTAGATAATTCATATAAGAGATCAAACTCAACCTATATAAATACGCTTGTGACACTAAATTGAGTTAAATGATTGTCTTTCTAATAAAAATTAACAAAATATGGAATTGATGCACCAGCTAATAACTCGGCTATAAGCAAAGATAAATTATCTCATCACCAATGAAGTCTACTGAACTTTTTATAATTTCATCAAAATGTATAGTGATTCACGATAAACAGGTCTTAGTTGTGGAATATATTCATGATTAACTAAGTTTAATGAATTTTTTATAGCGAAGCTATGTGGAATAGAATATTAATGACAATCATTCAATATCGAGTCGAAATGAATGAAATCGTTTTCAATCCAACGAACTGAGAGGAATGTTTGAAAATATAGGCTCCAACGGTCCTCAGTGATACACTATCTATCAAGCCAAAAGTTTTGACCGATAAAGCGATGAATTAAGTACATAAAAAATCAGTCTTGTTTGCATGTTTCTTTTTACTTAATAGGCATATGCGAGTGTGAGTGAAGCAATTTGGCCGTTCACCAATTGCATCGACAGCCTTAGAGGAAAGAAAAAAAAAGTGGTCACGTTGGCTAATGTATTCTTTTTCGAATAAGAAGAATTCGTCTGATACGTAAGATAGAAAATAAAATTAACGGTTTCGAGGCCTTTAGCCCATGATAGGGCTTGAATATACAGAGGGAAAAAATCTCAACCATCGATACAATGAACTTCCAATCTCACGTCCCTAGAAGATTGAATCTAAGGACAATTCAACTTATGAGATACTAGACAACGACTTGCTAGTCTATTTCGAATGTTTCAAAAAATTCTCTGAATTTCGTTTGCGTATATTTTCTGGTTTATATTTACATTCTTTTGTTTTCGATTTGACTAATTGTTGTTAAATTTGAGTAATTTCCATTTTGATCGTAATACTGCTTCCTATGTATGTTGTATACACTGAAATTTCAAAAAGGTGATCTCAAGTCATATCATCGTGACAACGATAATAGTAATGATACATGTTGATTCGATTTTTTTCAAAGTATAGAAATGAAAATTTTTATTATTCTGTAAGGGAGACAGAGCCAACATCGCACTGTTCTCAATATTTATATTAAAGTACGACAAAATTAGAAAAAAAAACATGTATTTCCTATTGTCGACATTCCTATCCAATTTTCCTTACGTAGGATATCTTAGGTCAGGATTCGAATATTTCTTGAAAATATTCGCCGTGAAGCTGGCTCCAACTAAGGACTTCCTGGCTCCAAGTACATCTCGACGAGCTCTATCCACTGCCATATTTTTTTTCTCACCAAGTGACTTCCTTCCGTCCGGAAAACCCCTTTTACTGCTAAAAAATAAGACAAAACAATGAAAACAAAAATAAAACCTGTCGCGATTCGCTCAACGACTGGTTCCAACAAAACCAAGAATGGCTCCAAGTAGAACTCGACGAGCTCTACTCAATGGTCACCTTCAGAACGCGATAAAGTGCTTTCAATCGGCAGGAATTGGCTAATTACCTATCAGAAACCGGTTTCTGTTTCTAGAACCCGTCGCGATTCGCTCAACGACTGGTTCCAACAAAACCAAGAATGGCTCCAAGTAGAACTCGACGAGCTCTACTCAATGGTCACCTTCAGAACGCGATAAAGTGCTTCCAATCGGCAGGAATTGGCTAATTACCTATCTGAAACGGTGTTCTGTTGCTACAACATGACGCGATTCGCTCAACGACTGAGTTCGTGTGGAACTCGATGAGCTCTATTGAGTTAATATGATTTTCGATCGAATTGGTGCTGGTGTCTGTAATGCATTGAACAACCGGGCCCCAAAATTTTAGTCTTGTTAATAGATGTCTCGGTTTTTATTGCGTATGTTTTTTGAAAAAAATTGTTATTCATGCAGGGAAAAGCAATGCAAACTGGACAATCACAAAGTTACAACAACGGCTTTGGTTTGTGCAAGTATTGTCAGAATTATCATTTTTGTTTTCGTTCCGTTTGATTAAAAGTCGCCAGTATTTTTTCTATGTGTCGTTCATTTCCGCCAATAAAGACGACAGATAAGAGTGAGGACGCAATTTTTCAGTCGAAGAATATTTTCGTTTTCGCGCGGACACATAGGTGGGAATGAAAAAGATTTTATTGGTTGATATTACTGTACGAGAATCGTGGAGAGAATAAAAAAGAATCGATTCAGAAAAACTGCCACTTGTTTCGTTGTATGATTCATGTGTATGTATATGAGAAGGAAAGAAAGAAATGTCATTGGGCGATTGATTTCTATACATATGGCGAGGGAGAAAAGAACGAAAAGATGGCGATGGTTTGTGTATCGTACATATACGCGGAGAAATGGAAAATATTTCGATTGGCTGGCTGTTCTCGATCAATCGGTGAACAAACGAAGGTTTCATGGTAGTTGATATTATCAACTTGATATTATTCACATTATAATTGTAATCATCAGCTCGTAGAAGTTGTTTGTTTGGCTTTTCTAAAAACTACTGTTCTTTTTCAGAAGCATCTTCTTACACACACTCTTCAATCAAATTTAATCGTATAATATTTTTTTGTTCTAAATAAGATAGGTTTTTATTTACATGTATTATGGAAAAAGTTATTGATCGGTAATTTTTGAAATTAAACATCTATATAGTTAAATATTTTTATTTTTTGTTCGAAGTATTATCGTGTGGCATTTCTTATCGAACAAAGATTACATAATCAAGGTTCTGAATTTCAGAATCTGAAATATTATATTTTACGATTTTGTATTTTTTATTTTTTATTTTTTTAGACATTTATGTTATTATTCATGGTAGTATTTATTTATTCTATTTAATTATTTTCATGTCGTACATATCATATATTCGCTGTTATATTGTTCATTATAGAGATTATTTATCGTGTGATTTAACTGAATAATTATTCTGTTGAATTTTTGTAATTTTGTTTGTGATAGTATCGATTGTCTGATGGAATTATGTTACAAAAATATTAGCATGATAAAGGTAAAACAAAATTTTTTTTTGACTTAGTTTCTATATTTTTTTTATAGATGTTTATGTTATTACTCAAAGTAGTAGTAATTATTGAACAACAATTCGAATTTATTCTATGTAATTATTTTGATACTGCACATTTGACATATTCGCTCTTGTATTGATCATTGAAGATATTATTTATCGTCGGTGTTAACTGAATAATTATTCTTTTGAATTTTTATAATTATGTTTGCTATATGAGCGATTTTCTCATGGAATTATCGGTGAAAATGTTGTATATACATATTATTTTTTTTTAAATAAATTGTTCTGTTGGAACGCAAGAGAAGTGGAGGTTAATTTTTTCGTAAAAGGTTTACAAGAGCAGGGAAATCAAAACGATGGAGCGAAGGAAATCTGATTGACCTGCAGAAGGTTATCAATAAAAGAAATAGTGAAGCGCATATTTCATTTGATGAATAGCGAGGAGAGAACGAAAAAGTGTAGTTCACGAATCACTCATGCATGTGAACCTGAGAAAGAAGAAGAATAATATGCTCGTTATTTTCTTTTGATCAACGAAGATTGAAAGTTGGATAAAGGTTTTTGTTTGAATTTACTTCGTTTATAGAATATATGTATGTGACGATCAGCAAAAAAAATTCATGAGCTCGTTTTTCTTTATCAATGATCGTGTACATAGCTGTTTGATAAAAGGATGTCATTGATTGAATTGCTTTTCGAATATTATGAAACATGAATGAAATTTCGAAGAAGATAAAATTATGTGGTGAAATACACTAACCGTGAATAGCACTAATACTTAATTTACAAAACTGAATTGTAATGCCTTGAAACTGGAATTTTTTTATGATTGAGTGAAACGATGGAGAAATTGAGTTACGTTAAAATATAAACTATTTTTTGATAGGTATATATTGCTTGTTAATGTGATTATGTAGAAATTCAGTTCGCGAAAATCTGAATTCGATTCATTGTATGAATTGGAAATGATAACGAGATATTTTTGTGAAATACGTTCTGGTTCGTTTGCATTGATTGTTGTCTCTCTTATGTTTCTTTCATATCTCCGGCGTTTCTTATATTCATCTCTACTTTCCTTTTGGCAATGGCTTTCATCGATGACACGTGAAAGAGTTTGATAATATACTGTGATCTGCGAAGAAAAGACAACGTGAATCAATGTTTTTGTTTGCGTATTTTAACACTAATGTTTAAAGGCTTTTGTCACGTCTTATATTATTAATTATCAAAGACGAATAACTGATGATATCGTAGATTCATAAAAAATGAAAAAGTTATATATCTGATTGACATCAGACGAAATCAAATAATTCATTAAATGATTGCATCTTGACTCTCATTGGTTCTTTTGGATGAATTTTTATGCGTATTCCAGTAGAAAATAAAATATATTATTCTCTTGTCAGAAAAATAAGTCTTCACTACAAAAAAATACAACTTGCTCACAACAATCTTCGCTGCTACCTGGCTTTATCAAACAAATCGAATAAAAGTTATATTTTCTTTGATTTCAATTAAACGTTTCTCGGTTATTATTCTAAAATGGCTGATTCAAATATAAATAAGAAAGGTAACGATATTTGGTCACTAGTTACTTTAGATGATTTGGTTGCTGCTATCGCTTCTCTTGGAGATCGTACGGATCAACTCAAAGGTGAAACATGGCGATTCAATGCGAAAACTAGATCCCAAAGTTCACTTTGGGGTGAAGTTATTCATAAATTAAAATTGAATTATAACGAAAAAATGCGCCAATCTTTGTACAAAATTTGGCATTTAGAGCGTCACGATATTCAGGATCTTGTTAAAAAAAAGAAAAAAGTAATTGACAACAATGAAGTGAACGAAGACGACGGTGATATCAATGGAATAGAAGACATTTCCGTTGCAGAGAGAAATAATTCAAAGATGCATCCTAATACATCTCTACCGCTAGCAAAGCGACCAATTACACGTGCCAATCCAGACGAAAATGGTGCTCAAAAATCGGTCATTACGGAAATATCATTCGCTTTCAATGCCGTTGAATGGAAAAATACGTTTAGTCATACGAGCCAAGAAATGAAAGATGGCTGGGCTAAGATTTTTAATGACAAGTTGATGTCATCTGGAATCGAATGTACGTTGAAATTCAAAACACCATACATCATGGAAGGAAAAAGAAAACAACGGTGTAAATTTTTTGGTTGCTATGCTATATGCACCAGAGTAAAATGCACGAGAAAATATCAAATAATTCTTCGTCATCAACCAGATGAGAACTCATCAGTACTTTTTCTTGTCCGAGTTTTCGGTGAAGAAAATCATAATCCTGCCATCGAAACAGCTTCACGTAATCTGACAGGGAAACATCGATTTGATGTCGGTAAGTAATTTTATTACATGTTTTGAATTCATTTTAATATGATGACGATATTTTAGGAAAGCGAGCAAACGAAATCGGCCCACTTCGAGTTTTCCGCGAGCTTATCAATGAAGCTGATGAAAATTTGCTCGCAGCAGGCAATTACACACAATGTCCAACGATCGAAGTATTGAAGAAAGCGGCATCTGATTATCGTGAAAAGATGCACATTGATGAAAACATTTTCCAGGAATGTCGAATGATTCGTCGAGCTTACTTGAAAGATGATACATCATCCACTTATACTAAAGGTGAATTAAAGATTGATGAAAAAATTTATTAAACAATTTCAAATTCTTTTCGACAGGATACATTCATGAGATGGGTGAAGTGCCATTTCGTACACACTTATATTCAGAAACACAGATCGAACGATACATCAATTATGTTAAAAATGAGAAATATTCATATGTTCATATAGACGCAACTGGTGCTGTCTTAAAACAAATGTGTGAACAGAAACAGCCGTTGCTTTATGCCATGATATTCAAAGATGGTACTGACGCAAATGATACTGTTCCACTCGCACATTCTGTTTTAACAGATCATACAGTTCCTAGTCTTGGCTATTTTTTTGGAAAAGTAGCTTACAATATTACTGAAGTCGCAGGAAAATTAGTCCTTCCTTCTTTTTTTATTATTGATTTTTCAGCCGCTACTATGAATGCCGTCCTTCAAGCATTCAATATCGAAAGCATTAACGCACATCTTAATCGATGCTGGAATGTCGTGCAAGGAAAATACAGCAGTCAAGAACTTCGATCATTGTCATTCATTCATTTATGTTGCTGCCACGTAATACATGCTATGGCAAGAAGCTTAACCACTGCACGTACTGATAAAAAAATACGACGAGCTCTATTACATATATTAGCGTTCATGTTATGCAGCAATGATATTGAACAATTATATGATACACTTGGACAGATGATCAATATCTTTGGCGATCCCAATGAGAAGAATGCAAGAGAAAAACTTGAACAAATGGTATCACTTGACTTGAATGTAGACGAAGAAAGCGCGTCAATGTTAAAGAATGGTAAGAAAATTTTTAAACAGGCGAGAAGAAAAAAAGATGAATTGGGATTGATGGACGAATATTTACGTTCCAATGCTCCTATCATTCATCAATCACCGTTTAATAAGGAAGCCATTCGGCGTTATCCGAATCTGACTAACCTTATTAATAATAAATGCAAAACTCATAAGATTGATAACCCGCTATTTTCGCCATCGATAATTCGTATTTTGTATAGATGGTGAGCATATTTACCGCTATGGACAGGCTTATTGATAAATTTTGAAGAACGATATTCGAATAATATCAAACGAGATTCATCTGTAATATATAACCCTATTCGTTATTCGAATGCCATTATTGAGAGCTACTTCCGAACATTTAAAAAATGTATCTGCAAGGGAAAGAGACGTGATCGCCCGGCGGAGATTATCATGGAGTTACATCGAGGCGTTAAGACACAATCAAAGGCTAATGAATTCGGTGTAACCCAAAGTTCAAAAGGAAGAAAGAGAAGGAAAACAAAAGTTAACGAAGAAGATGAATGGGGGAAGAGAAAAGGTGAGAAAACAGATCGTACTGCTTACTTCAAAAGCATTGACAAGCTCGCATCAAAGCGGGGTCGAACAAAAATGGACGACAATCAAGCCGATTATGTTACCAACAAATACAGGTAAAGTTTTTGAATTTTAAATTCTTAATCTTTATTTTTATCTTCAGTGACTCGGAAGACACAACAACGATTTCATCGAAAGAGAAATCAAAATTATCTTCTGAACAGTCGGATGATGATATTTCATCAAAGTAATAAAAAAAAATTGTTCTCATATCAAAGAAAGAATTATTCATTATAGTGAATCAATTCAATCAACTAGAAGCTCTTCTTCGTCATTGGCATCTACAACGAACTCAAGGGTAAGTAATGAATATCATATTGATATTCCAATGAATTTAGGTAAGCCGACGGTCGACGATGATGAAGAAAGTGAAGCTTCAATTGAATCCGATTTAGACACGAACACAGTCGCTTCTAACACAAATATTGCATCTCCTGTAAATTATGGTATGCAATAAAATATATTATTTTGTTATCAGCACAACATCTTTATCATCGTAGAGCAAAAAAGAACAACTGATCAATCATCAAACAAACCACATGCTCAATTTTCATCACAGCCAGAAGTAATCATCAATGGGTGTACAATACGATGGCCCAAATTTCAAGTAAACAATGTTACTTTCGAAGGTAATTAGAAAAAAAACGAAATAAATATTTGATTTCATAAATTTCGTTTTCATAATTTTTTTATTTTTTCAGGTCGTTTATATTCACTCCGACTAACATGCCCACTAGATGCACCATTGTTGGCTTTATATTTTCTTTATAAAACCGATAACAAGGTTGCCAGCGAATTCGACGATGCACCAGCATCATCACCATATTCAACACTTGTGAAAACATTTCAACTTGTGGAAAAAGATGGATGGGATACTGCTCGAATATACTGGTTATTAGCATTCAATATTCTCAAACAAACTGATTGCAAACCAAAAAACTTGTTCGGTTCACTTGATGAAAGAGTTTTCTCTTTTCTCAAACGACAACAACAGTATTCAACCACAGTTACATGTTCAAGACTTGATTGCACAGACAAAGAACGTATTTTGTCAACAACTGAATTAGGGATACGGTTAGTATATATTTATGAATATTTATTTTTATATCACAGTAAAATTTTTGTTTAGTTCTTGTGATGTTTATATTGAAAATTTTGAAGAAGAAGTGATCTCTGTATGTCAAGCAATGATGAAGGGGCAGCATGAAATGACAGAAGCTGATGCACTTAAAAACAAATATAAATATGGCAGTGTGCCGATGATCAATTGTGAAACGAACGAAAGTGGATATATGTATGTAATGTCTTTATTGTTCTAATTATTTTCATTTTTTTTCTTTATAGAAAAGGCTGGCTATGTGATGCTTTCAATGTTCAAGAACCAGCCACATTTGATCATGGTTATCCACCAATTATTATAGCAAACATTCCACCAGTAATTAGAAATACTATAGAAGGTTATGATATTTATCCTGGCCGCTTTCGTAATATGAAACGTATCATACGAATAGGACATGTAAAGTACGTTATTAACACACTTTTCTTTTTTTCCGCTAATTTTTCATCTGATTTGCTTAACTAAATTTTTATTCTCGAGTTTCATCATAAAACATCAGTATTCTCATATTGTTAATTACTGGTGTCTCTTTCATAATAATCGTTATAAATTGTTTATTTCTAGGTATCGATTACGTGTCCTTATGCACAACAAGAACGATCATTTCACCGCCACGTTAATTGGCTCCGACGACAAATTATACATTTACGACGATCACTCAGGTATACGTGAAGTTCGAAGCTCAACTGGTGACATTGAAATGCCCATTTATACTCAAATATATGATGTTTGAGTGATTGTGGCTTTTGTAAAATATTTGTAATTACTTTTTGAATTTTTAATAATTCTTTTATGTAAAAATCAATGAATAAAAAAGAAAAGACTGTCGGTAGTATAAATAGATATAGATATGACATCTCAATCAGGCTTGCCAAATTGAAATTTCAGAAATCAAGAGTTTTTCATCGAAAAACAGGAATCTAGCAGGAGAATTTCTTTTAGAAATCAGGAGAAAAATCAGGAGGTTTCCTATTTGAAGTTAAGAGAACATTAGGTGATTTTCTCGTGGAAAATTCGGATTTTCGCTCACATAAGCACTTTTATCTGTTTTATACCAAGTTGATCATCAATATTTTAATACAAATGATATTATTTTCATTTGAGTTCTAATGCAAGTAATGCTCTTTTCTATACACGTAGAAGAGTCATGAAAACATTTTTTTAGTTATATCTATTATGTACACTGAACCAGTTAATATTCTTATCTGGATTCTTTCCAGACTTCTTTTTTATTCTGATCGATCAGTCAAAATTCTTTTTGTATTGTGAAGTTCAAGTAAAACTATTTATATAAATTAATAGAACGATAGAAAGACTCTCACCGGAGTTGGAAAAAAAGACAATCATTCTTTGTTTATTCCGTCACTTTTGAATCGCTTATCATATGCTTCTTCGCTCATTTTTATACGCTAATATTCTATAACAACAAGATAAGTTAACATTTAGGAAACAAAGTTGTTTTTCTCTCAAGTCTTTTATGATCTATTAAAGGAACATTTAGTCGAAATGGCCATTCCTTCTGCTTCTTTTTTTTTATTGATGCCTTCACTTTTTTTTGTTGTATTATAGATCCATTCATTCTTTTCATGTTTGTAGTTCCTATCAAACTTTGACAACAAAATAGCAGTGCAAGTAAGCCTATAGCAATTTTAGCGTAATAATGAAAATGAAACAGAAATCTTGCTAGGTTATTCAAGATATTGTCCTATTCTGAGTTAAAAAGGGTCCGATTCGATTTCCAAGAAATGCGAAATTCTTTCTAGATGAGAGACATCTTCTCTGACCATTTAAAATTTTGTCTATCAGTCTCCTGTCTGATTTTTAAGATCTTGTTTTCTAAATAATAACATATACTTTTCTCCTATATACAACAAAACAAGTACTTTGCATGCAATTAGGTCATGTAATTGATGATTTTTTTAAAAGAAGAATGAAATAAAAGCCATTATTTTCTCATTCGTTTCTATAACTATTAAATACTGCAATAGTTCTCTTTACTCCCTTTAGTTCTCTTATTGGTCCAAAGTATCGCTAAAAACCAAATAGAAAGAAAACTAGAAATCAGGAGAAATCAGGAGAAAATGTTGAAAATCAGCTCCTGAAATCAGGAGATTTTCTATCAGGAGAGAAGTCCATAAATCAGGAGGTTTGGCAAGCCTGATCTCAATGTATATATATATATATATTTCTCTTTTCTTTCAATTAACATATCACTCATCTGTGGAGAACAAAGAGAACAGGAAAAGAAAAAATAAACATGCCTGAATGAAAGAACGGGACAAAGATCAGTCAACTTTCTTGCGCGATAGTTATGTGAAGAAAAAAAAGATACACTCGCATTCTTTAGCAATTGTTTGAACTCTTTGATACTATCGGGCACTAACATATGTAACACTGAAAGAACGAAGCATGTAATTTAATTACATGTTCCTATTAGCGAAGATGTATATATAGTCTGAAATTGTTGATCATTATCATCATACTATTATTCCATTCACCATGTTTGTTTTATTCATTCTCTTTGCTGCTGCTGCTTTCGTTAACTCTGATTCAGATCGCGTAAGTAATATTTATGAACTATAAGCAAAGTTGTTTGATGAGTTATTATTCTAGGAGTACAACAATTTATCGGACTTATTAAAAATAGAATATTTTTTAAAAACAACCACCACCACCACCATCGTCACCATCATTACCACCACTACTACTACTACAATCAATAAAATCGATCAAATAAAAAAAATTGCCAATAATATCAATGTCACGAATGAAGCTGTAAAAATTCTTCTTCCATCAATATGTGTTTTTATTTTAACAATATTTTCGATCATATGTCATTTTGCGCGAAAATGTTACTTGAATGATGGAGACTGTAAAGTAAGAATTAAACAAATATTGGATTGTTCATGTACTTAATGTATTCTTTTTTTAGCAAGCGTGGTTTTATTTGAAGACACCCGCTGAATACAGACGTCGTCGAGAAATTGCTCGAAGTAAGTAACTAATTATTTTTCTTAACGATAATTTGTTTTTTATTCTAGATAAAAAAGTGGTGCTTGATCAGATTATTGTACAATCCTCATCCAGCATTTATGCAATTGCTTAGCGTTTTTCTTCTTTCTTTCTTTCCTTCGTTTCTTCTTCTTCATTTTTTTTGTTGTTGATTCTTTTTTCAATAAATTATGTAGTAATAATTCGTAATTGTTAGTGTCGGCTTGATGAATGTCATTGATAATATCTTTTTCATACGTCTTCATAAAATGATCGGCAGTAAAAAATCGAAGAGATGAATTGTTTGTTCATGAAGATAAGCTTAACGCTTAAGATCATATCGAATGAAAATACCGATTGGATAATTATTCTCTGTATGTTGTGTTCTTATTCTTTCTACCAATAGCTTCTCGTCTTTTTTTTCCAATCCTTCTCTTTGCACATATATATATATCATACACATATAAGTGACGGTCAAGAAGCAAAACAAATATTCGTTCCTAACGTTACGTATTTTTTCATATTGTCAAAACAATTTTTCTCATCGCAATTCGCAATTATCATTAAGTAACATTAAATCACAATGGTTGATGTTGCAAGATTATTTTTCTTGTATTTTACAATTAACTTGATTAGAACGGCATTACTTGTGCAAATGCGAGATTGGCAAAAAAATGATACCATCATCAATATTAATAAAGGATATGCTCTTCGACGTTTGGGTGTATATTCATCAGACGTCGCAGAAGAAATTGTTCACACATTTATTCCTATTAATAATCTGTGTGTTTTATCACCAGAAACAGATGTTTACCAGTATGCTTCCTTACCGTTAGATACAAATGTTGCACAACTTGCTACTACGACAATACCTGGTAATACTGCTCGAACACTGTCCCCATATAACACTGAGAACATACCGAGATTAATTCGGGAAGGCGTAAGTCGAGTTCTTGCACAACATCATCCAGATGAAATTATAAAGAACTATAAATCAATCGCTCATTTCGTCGATAATCAATTTTATTATCACAAGAGTGATGTCAATGCAATTATAACAACATCTCCCACAAATACTCTGGATAAAGACATTGGTATTTCTCGCTTTCGTTCAAATTCAATGGAAATAATTCGTAAACAGATAAATAACAATAAAATAGGTTTTGAATATTTATCTCATACTGATTTAAAATTGTTTTTAACAGCAATATTTCTAATTATCGATGCGTCGTATACTGTTTCTAATTTTCAAGTATCACTTGATATTTTCTCTCAGTTAATTTTAGGACAGTCGGTGTTCGTTTCACGTTATTGTTCAATAGGTCAACGAAATTTGTTATCGCCTGAACCTTGTCTTATAATATCAACCCTATTTTTACGAACTCCATCCGATAGTACATCAATCTTTTCAATCTTTCGTTTGATTCCTTTACCAATTATTGATAATGGCTTTATGTACACTTACTCAAAGCTTCCCAAAATAATTGGTGTAAATTCAATCGATCAAACATTTCTTATGTGGAACGAAGAAATTGACATCAAAGAATGTACATTCTCGCGACTTGTTCAATGCCGAACAAAACCAGTCTCAACTACCATATTAAAATCATCATGCATATCTCAACTATTCGATGACGATGAACTAGATACAAGTATATGTGAAGTTAGCCGTACACAAAATATTGATCAGGATATCATGCGAATTGATGATGATATTTGGCTTTTCTCTAATGTTCGTCATACCGAATACTGCCAGATTTATTCAGCTTCAGATGAATTAACTGAAACTATATTGATAAATGAAGCATCAGTCCTTCGTATACCGTGTAACAAGACAGTTACATGTAGGAATTCGCAATTACCTACTGCATCATGCACGCAACATAGAGTCACCATAACACCTGCTGTTCATTTGCATCATCGACTCCCAGCCCGATTTCTTGTACCAATCAAAGACATGTCAAAAACAATTGTGCGATCTTATCAATTACAGCTCAACAACAAAATAAATGACTTGATGACAAATTTTTCAGCGAAGCGACCAAAAATGAAACAAGTGTTTGAAGACTACTTAAATTATATCGCATCCGTCATCGCATACATTCTCTTTCTCATATTTATTTATCTCATGTATTTGATTAAATACAAACAACAGCGAGCACTTAAGTGTATTGCGTCATTCGTACAGGATACAGTTTCAGCATAAATTTTTTCTATTGTATATTTGTACATGTCTTTCTTATTGCTGATTCAAAATAAAACGTTTAATCTTCTCATGAATATAAATAATACACATTTATTTTTAAAAATAATATTTACATCGACAACTGACAATTCATAGTAGGCAGAGCACAAATATACTCATATATTACATGTGCATTTGTAAAACCCAACTTGTTCATCGAAAACGCTATGACAAAAAAACTTTAACAATATTTCTTACCATAAATAGAATAATATTCAGAAAAAAACATAAGCCTTCAACAAATAACATTACTAGATTGTAGATTGAATATATATATTTCCCTCCGTAATAATTGTTGAGCAAAACCACACCATGAACATAAAAAAATTTATTTAATTCAGCCAATTCACCATAACTTAACAAACAGTATTCTTTCCGATAACAATTCTGTCAATAAATGCATCACATCGACAACATGAAAATGATAAAATAATACAGTTTTACAATTGTAGTTCAACGAAAAATATATTATTCGATAATTATCTTGAATAATAACATAAACATCTAGATTAAAATATATACATTAAGTCGAAAAAAAGGATTTTGTTTTACCTTTATCCTGCTAATATTTTTTCACCGATAATTCCATGAGAAAATCGCTCATATAGCAAACATAATTATAAAAATTCAAAAGAATAATTATTCAGTTAACACCGACGATAAATAATATCTTCAATGATCAATACAAGAGCGAATATGTCAAATGTGCAGTATCAAAATAATTACATAGAATAAATTCGAATTGTTGTTCAATAATTACTACTACTTTGAGTAATAACATAAACATCTATAAAAAAAATATAGAAACTAAGTCAAAAAAAAATTTTGTTTTACCTTTATCATGCTAATATTTTTGTAACATAATTCCATCAGACAATCGATACTATCACAAACAAAATTACAAAAATTCAACAGAATAATTATTCAGTTAAATCACACGATAAATAATCTCTATAATGAACAATATAACAGCGAATATATGATATGTACGACATGAAAATAATTAAATAGAATAAATAAATACTACCATGAATAATAACATAAATGTCTAAAAAAATAAAAAATAAAAAATACAAAATCGTAAAATATAATATTTCAGATTCTGAAATTCAGAACCTTGATTATGTAATCTTTGTTCGATAAGAAATGCCACACGATAATACTTCGAACAAAAAATAAAAATATTTAACTATATAGATGTTTAATTTCAAAAATTACCGATCAATAACTTTTTCCATAATACATGTAAATAAAAACCTATCTTATTTAGAACAAAAAAATATTATACGATTAAATTTGATTGAAGAGTGTGTGTAAGAAGATGCTTCTGAAAAAGAACAGTAGTTTTTAGAAAAGCCAAACAAACAACTTCTACGAGCTGATGATTACAATTATAATGTGAATAATATCAAGTTGATAATATCAACTACCATGAAACCTTCGTTTGTTCACCGATTGATCGAGAACAGCCAGCCAATCGAAATATTTTCCATTTCTCCGCGTATATGTACGATACACAAACCATCGCCATCTTTTCGTTCTTTTCTCCCTCGCCATATGTATAGAAATCAATCGCCCAATGACATTTCTTTCTTTCCTTCTCATATACATACACATGAATCATACAACGAAACAAGTGGCAGTTTTTCTGAATCGATTCTTTTTTATTCTCTCCACGATTCTCGTACAGTAATATCAACCAATAAAATCTTTTTCATTCCCACCTATGTGTCCGCGCGAAAACGAAAATATTCTTCGACTGAAAAATTGCGTCCTCACTCTTATCTGTCGTCTTTATTGGCGGAAATGAACGACACATAGAAAAAATACTGGCGACTTTTAATCAAACGGAACGAAAACAAAAATGATAATTCTGACAATACTTGCACAAACCAAAGCCGTTGTTGTAACTTTGTGATTGTCCAGTTTGCATTGCTTTTCCCTGCATGAATAACAATTTTTTTCAAAAAACATACGCAATAAAAACCGAGACATCTATTAACAAGACTAAAATTTTGGGGCCCGGTTGTTCAATGCATTACAGACACCAGCACCAATTCGATCGAAAATCATATTAACTCAATAGAGCTCATCGAGTTCCACACGAACTCAGTCGTTGAGCGAATCGCGTCATGTTGTAGCAACAGAACACCGTTTCAGATAGGTAATTAGCCAATTCCTGCCGATTGGAAGCACTTTATCGCGTTCTGAAGGTGACCATTGAGTAGAGCTCGTCGAGTTCTACTTGGAGCCATTCTTGGTTTTGTTGGAACCAGTCGTTGAGCGAATCGCGACGGGTTCTAGAAACAGAAACCGGTTTCTGATAGGTAATTAGCCAATTCCTGCCGATTGAAAGCACTTTATCGCGTTCTGAAGGTGACCATTGAGTAGAGCTCGTCGAGTTCTACTTGGAGCCATTCTTGGTTTTGTTGGAACCAGTCGTTGAGCGAATCGCGACAGGTTTTATTTTTGTTTTCATTGTTTTGTCTTATTTTTTAGCAGTAAAAGGGGTTTTCCGGACGGAAGGAAGTCACTTGGTGAGAAAAAAAATATGGCAGTGGATAGAGCTCGTCGAGATGTACTTGGAGCCAGGAAGTCCTTAGTTGGAGCCAGCTTCACGGCGAATATTTTCAAGAAATATTCGAATCCTGACCTAAGATATCCTACGTAAGGAAAATTGGATAGGAATGTCGACAATAGGAAATACATGTTTTTTTTTCTAATTTTGTCGTACTTTAATATAAATATTGAGAACAGTGCGATGTTGGCTCTGTCTCCCTTACAGAATAATAAAAATTTTCATTTCTATACTTTGAAAAAAATCGAATCAACATGTATCATTACTATTATCGTTGTCACGATGATATGACTTGAGATCACCTTTTTGAAATTTCAGTGTATACAACATACATAGGAAGCAGTATTACGATCAAAATGGAAATTACTCAAATTTAACAACAATTAGTCAAATCGAAAACAAAAGAATGTAAATATAAACCAGAAAATATACGCAAACGAAATTCAGAGAATTTTTTGAAACATTCGAAATAGACTAGCAAGTCGTTGTCTAGTATCTCATAAGTTGAATTGTCCTTAGATTCAATCTTCTAGGGACGTGAGATTGGAAGTTCATTGTATCGATGGTTGAGATTTTTTCCCTCTGTATATTCAAGCCCTATCATGGGCTAAAGGCCTCGAAACCGTTAATTTTATTTTCTATCTTACGTATCAGACGAATTCTTCTTATTCGAAAAAGAATACATTAGCCAACGTGACCACTTTTTTTTTCTTTCCTCTAAGGCTGTCGATGCAATTGGTGAACGGCCAAATTGCTTCACTCACACTCGCATATGCCTATTAAGTAAAAAGAAACATGCAAACAAGACTGATTTTTTATGTACTTAATTCATCGCTTTATCGGTCAAAACTTTTGGCTTGATAGATAGTGTATCACTGAGGACCGTTGGAGCCTATATTTTCAAACATTCCTCTCAGTTCGTTGGATTGAAAACGATTTCATTCATTTCGACTCGATATTGAATGATTGTCATTAATATTCTATTCCACATAGCTTCGCTATAAAAAATTCATTAAACTTAGTTAATCATGAATATATTCCACAACTAAGACCTGTTTATCGTGAATCACTATACATTTTGATGAAATTATAAAAAGTTCAGTAGACTTCATTGGTGATGAGATAATTTATCTTTGCTTATAGCCGAGTTATTAGCTGGTGCATCAATTCCATATTTTGTTAATTTTTATTAGAAAGACAATCATTTAACTCAATTTAGTGTCACAAGCGTATTTATATAGGTTGAGTTTGATCTCTTATATGAATTATCTAAGTCGCGTAGAGTTTAAGCTTGAAAGTTGTACAGTTTTATTTTCGTCACATATAAACAACGCGGTAATAGAAGATCATTTGTCTTATTTAGATTCGGGCAAATGATAGAACATTATCGTCATTTCCAATGAACAATCAGTTGCTTGATTTTATTAGACAGATGCATTTATGAGAACCATCAAGGCTTCTATTTTGTTTCACTAGACTTTATGTTCATTTATTTCTTTATAAAACTACATAGTACATGAATAAAATTCGACAATAGTTATAAGCAATGAGAAGTATATTTGATCACTCTCATTTTTCTGCTTACGTCGTGTTTCAGTTCACTGATGAAAACTTTCGTCAGGTCAGATGATAATTTTGATAACATTCGTAAGAATATCAGAAAAAAATAGTTCAGTAAATTATATTATGATGAAGATGTTATTATGATTGAAAGAGTTCAATTATTCATGAGCATCATTTATGCAACACACAAACCATCAGGTTATATATTTGAACGTAATATTCTCAATATCCATTCGACATCATTCTGTAAACTAATACATACTTGAGATCTATTATCTCTGAAAAATCAGTTGATCTGCACAATGAACGCTGTAGTATGCTCTTTATTCAGTGTAAAGTCTTAAAAATGTGCCTCCCATTACCTATTAATATGCCTCTGTAACAGTTTTCGCATCGATTAACAATTTTCGCGTGGTTGATGCAAATATGTTCAGAAAATCATTTTATTAGGATACATAAGTATTTGGTTCATATTGATGCGCCTGCTGACTACAACAATAAGACCAATACGATTAAATATATTGTTTGTTGTTTCAAATATTGGTCTAAATCTTTTGTACAATTTTCAGATGAATCTACGACGAAAAGAATATCCACCTAACTTTTGGCTCCAGTTACACACACATACGATTGATTCTCCAACGCATTATCAGAGAAAATCATACCGTCAACCAACTAAACGGAGGCTGAACAATTGTATAACTTTTCTTTCTCCACATATTCAGAAGTTTGTCTATGATGGTGCGATAGATAAACGAAAAGGGGAAATCCGAGCGACAAAATTTCCACTGAGCTCAGCTCAATTCAACACAATAATCGACCTTGGCGTAAATTTTACATATCAACAAGTTGTTTCACTCGAACAAAGATTGAATCTAAAATATAACTTTTTGCATAAGGGCTACAATCGTGGCATCAAAAATATTCAGTTTCGCGTCCAAACCCAGAGACCTGCATTTGATGGAAGTAGTGTTATATATCTACTCCGGGTTCGATTTCATCAAAAAGCTCCGCTCTAAGTGTATCAAGTCTGCCGAATGATCCCTCGTGACGAATATGCAATTTTTTTTCACCGTAAATATTTTCTTCGAAACCACTCTGGGGTGATATGTCATCAAAATCAATACGTAAATCAACGTTTTTAATTAATAAACATAATTGCGGTGGAATAGCTGGAGTTAAAGGAAAAGAAAAATCTTTATTTCCAATAATTTTTGGCCAATGAGCATCATCTAATTAAAATGAGAAAGAATCAGCATCCTTTACATAAATAAGAATATCATATTCATTATCGGAGATAATATGAGTAGATAAACGACAGTTTATCATTTGAACATCAAATTAATAATTTTTTTACAACGATCAATTAAACTTTGTTTAACCTGATTAGCTGTAACTTTTCCTGAACTAAAACGTAAAATAAAAGGTGGAAACGAGTATCTTGTTTGAGCAAAACGTGTCGATTCATTTGTAATGACGAAATTATGAGGAGATAATCGATGTTCGTTATCATTAACAACATGTATTTGATTATGATCAGGATTAGTATCAACAATAATAATTGTAGTTGGATTATCACGAGATGATTCACCAGCATTTAATACATTTTATTTTTCAGAGTCGTCACGTATATTTTGTTTCTGTTTCTTCTTGTTCTTCACGATACGATAGCCATCATCTGATTCGTTGGTTGAAAGTGGACGACGAACAGGAGATAGTGGTGAATTGACGAGATCATGATGTTATGTTGAGGATGATCGTGATACAATAACATAATTTTCATCATCTTTTTATATTCGCATTAGCATTGGAAATAAGACCATGAGTTAAATGATAATCGAGAGCATTATTTGAAACAGCAGGTAACATTTTGTTTAGTTCTGATTCAATAACATCATCATTTAATGCTTGTAAGCGGAGTTGGCCACCATGATCAAGATAAGAAACCGAATCGGAACTCATTATTAATGGCTTACAATTCGGTGTATAGAGTAAATCAATGTAATTAATTAATTTTCTCTATCACGCACTGAGCGCGTGATTAAGAAATATGTATATGTAAGTATGTATATACGAAGAGAAGAAAGAAGGAAAGCGACTTATCAGTAGATATAACAAATCGAGAATGTGCGTTTGTTTTACATTTTTTGTCCCTCTGCGTGAATGCTCCTCGACTAACTATTGTCGTTATCTAAGTTTCTATCTGTTCCTCACTTGTACGTGTCCTCTTTGTCGCGTTCTTTCTCGTTCTCTCCGGTTGAGTGATGTGCCCCGGAAAAAGAAAGTGTAACTATAAAAGGAGAAAGATGATCGAAATAAAACAGTTCGATATCACAATAAAACATTTTTTATCGTTACAGTGTATATTACATAAAGATATCTGGTTTGAAAATGTTTTTTTTACTAACATATGAGTATATTTGACATCATGCATTTGGTTATACACTTGTATAACAGAGATATGCATATACTTACACCTAGGCATGAACATGTAACAAACAAAGTAGCACTTTGATAATATTCTACAAGATTTGACACTCATATGTTTCTACGTTATAAAACTGAGTTAAGAGGTACAATTTTCCGAGCTTATCGCGCACTTTCCCATGTCCAAGAAAACGGTTCGTAAAACGAGCTAACGGATTACCGTGAAATAAGGCGAAAATTAATGCCTTATTACACCGTTTTATAGCCGTTTCAGACCTTTTAAGATGCTCGTTCAGACGGCCTGAACGATTGTCCGGGGTAGTTTATTCAATTACATCTCATCAAACAACGTAAATATTTTCCGAGCTTTTACGAAGAACTTACGTCTTAATTTTTCATGATTGAAATTTTTGCATATATTCATCTGATTTTTTCTATAGTGTGATCCTTTTTACTAATCTCAAAGAATAATTGAGTACTACGATTAAAAACATTATCTTTTTAAACTCGACTGTAATATGTATGCATACATATATACATACATACAGATAGAACCATTGAATTCTTAGGAATGACATTCACATATAAATATTTTCACTATACTTCTTTCGCTGTTCTGTACTCAGCGTTTGAAGGTCTCTCGCTGAGAGAAAATCAAGAATGCGAAACCTATTCTCCTTAGATCCTAAAACGT